AATTATGCATAATTTTCAAAGCATTCACTAATTAGCTGTCCATAATTGCTGCCTCATCTACTCTTAACCTTCGCTGATGGAAGGATGGCTTCTTGCAATATTATGCTCTTGTCTGAAGGAGATGGTCAAGAGAGGCAGGCTGAATACTGCAGCCACCAGCTGCCTGCCTGTCTGTGGGCACTGGGGCTGGCTGCAGCTCCCCCAGCCGCCTGAGCAAGGGACTCAGGCCAGCATCTCTGCTGCTCTCTAGGAAGGATGCAGAGCTGTTTTGTTCTGGTGCCCAGCTTCCTGGAAGCACACAAGATGGCCATGCTGCCATAAGAGGCCTTCGCTGGCCAGCCGAGCCCACATGCCTCACCCTTTGTACTGTGGCCCAGGAACACCAGCATGTTACTGCCAGTGTCCCCTGGCAAGCAGCGCCCTGCAAGACAGGCACTGAGAGCGTGGTGTTTTCCCTTGCCAAACCTTGGTCCCCTCTGCCCTTCAGGCTGGGAGCGGGGGTATCTCCTGCCATGCCTGCCCGGTATCCAGCACACACCAAGATGCTGAACTTGGTTCAACTCTTTTGGCACCACCGTGTCACTTATGAGGTCACAGTGACAACCAGCCACATAAATTTCCTCATTACGGTGGCCCCAGTTCCTGTTTCTGGAAACCCCCAGGGCTTGACACAGGGAGCCAAAGGCAGGAGGAAGAGACTGACTGCAGCTCTGGGCTGTCTCCAATTTGTCAGCTCCTGCCTGTTTTTTGGAGCCACGGGCCCCTGTCTCCAGAGACTTTTGCCAGCATTTGGCATGTGCCACCAGAGGGGGCTGCGAGCCACAGCAGCGGTCCCCCAAATCCTTCCCCGGCAGCAATCCCACAGATTGCAACCCAGTTGCAGCATGTGTTAGAAAGGGCTACAGAAAAACCCACTGGTGCAGTCTGATTATCAGTTGGGTTTTTTTTTTTAAAAAAAGAAATAACGGTCCTCTGGTACAGATGTTATGACTCAGCTGAAAGGTCTTCTGCTTGCAGAGTGAGCCCGAGCCCGTCTGCTGCAGTCTGGGAGGGAGTGTGCCCCTGCCATGTGTGTACAGCGAGTGCGGCGGGGAAGGGAAGAGCCATTAGCCAATCTCAGGAGGGAGCTTTTAATGGTCCGAAGAGAAGCCCTGCCGTGGGAGGGAGGCATGAATGGAAAAGGTGGTTATAAATGCAGTGATTCACACAGAGCTGAAGTGTCTGACTTGGATTTTCCAAGCAAGTAGCACAGACAGAACGGCAAAATGGCAATCAGGAAGGAGCGGGCAGCTTGACTATGCAACTGTGCGAGCCGGGGGCCAGCCAGCCCTATTGTACACCTATTGCAAATGGTTCAGGTTGCTCCTGGGATCACAAATAAATCCTGGCATGCACAAGGCTGCCCAGCTACCACCATGCCATGCAGAGAGTGGAAACATTTTGCCACAGCAGCGTGCTCTTTTCCACTGGATCCCACTTCCCTGTTCAAAGAGCAGACACTGATGGCGCAGGGCTGCAGTGCCCGAGCAACAGCAACACGGAGAGGAAGAAACAGCAAGCAGACACGCTATTACAATTATTTCCGAGTAGTTTGGTGGGTCTTTTACAGGAGCAAACTTCCCTTTTGGCTCTGCCCTTACTGCTGTGGCCCCACGGCTGCAGGACAGTGCAAACGACAGCCCGGGTCCCATACTCCCTATCACAGCGTGCCCACCCTCCCGCAACAGGGATTGCTGCTGTGCTGGCACACAAGAGCCATGACAGCAGGAGGAGGGCAGTTTTCTTAACCTGAAGTGCCTTCCCAAGGCAAGGTGCTTCCTCAGAGCACATATGAAGCAGAGAGAGAAATATGTTCTGGGACTTCAGTTACACCCAATTACTCCTTTCATGACGATGATAGCGGGGGTGCAGTTACTTCTTAATGCAGCTGGACACAGCCAAAAAAATATAAGCCCAGATGTGCCTCCAGAAAAACAATAGCAACAATCAGCACTGAGCAGCTGCCCCTGGCTGCCACCTCCATGCTCCATCCCTGGATGATGCTCCCACCTCCATGCCGGGAGGGCCAGCTGCTGAAGCCGCTCTGCGCAGCCAGCTCTCACTGCTTCATCGTCCGGGCAGCACCAGGTACGCAGCCCCTTTCCGGCCAGCTGCCCGGCAAGGGGAAATCACTGACCTTTCCGCAGAAGTCCCCAGGGTGCCAGGCACTGTACAAAACACAGGAAGAAATACCTCCCGTCCCAAAGGGAAATCTGAAACAGATCCAAGGAAGGCCAGAAAGGACACAGTAAAACTAAGAAGACTTTTGCAGATATTTTTGTAGGCCTTAGAATGGGTTTTAGGAATGTAAATGTTATGCTTTATGAGGGAGAAACTTTAGCCTAATAAGGTAAAATGAAATGTCGAAGGAAGAAGCAACAGAGGAAGGGGTTATGGTGTTTACCTCTGGCAGCTGGAAGCACAGACCAGCCCCGCTCCTGCTGCAATAGCTGCCAGGTAGCAATACCAGAGTAGCAGGAACCCTGCCTGCCCAGAGACAGAGTGCTACAATGGGATTCAGCAGCCTGCCACCTTTATGTGAATGTGCTCTATATTAATGATCAGATGTCAAAAGAAGGGCTCTGCCCTGAGACTGTATTTCTTTGATGCTGAACTCCTGTTCCTGTTAAGGTTCCCACCTGCAGCTACAATAAGGCCTTTGCTTCTTCATAAAATGCCCTCTGACACTCAAATGAGATTTATTACTAGATGGTCACTTATTAGTACTGCTTAATGCCCAAGCATTACACAGTGTTAATACTTGTCTCCTTCTGGTAGGTCACTTTAAAAAAATTTTTAAAATCTCCTTCCTATCAATTTCTTTCAGGCAGTGTTTATCACACACTGTTTTCATTTGTTTGGTTATTCTTCATATAAAGCACTGTCTATGAAGTTCTTTCAAATCCAATCCTTTGCAGTGCTGGCTCTGGGGAGCAGGCACCCAAAGTCAGCTTGCCTCCCAGCTCATACCTGTGGCCAGCAGAAGCCCAAGTGCACTGTAGATGAACCCTGTTTCACTTGCACACAGACAGCAGCTGGAGGGATACAGATGCAGACAAACTTCACTTTCAGGAGAGGTTTGATGTTAATACCTGGTTTCTAGAGACCAGCATTGCCGCAGGAGTTGAACTGAATCAGAGACCCTGACAAACCCTCTACCATTCATGTCCCACATGGGGGACCAAAACCCTCCAACTCAAACCTTTCTGCTTTAACTAAAGGCTCCCTCATGCATGTACATGCAGAAAGGGAAAGGGCAAGACCACGTAGCAGCCACTCAGAACATCTGCCACAATAAAGTAGATAGCAGCAAAGGGACAACATCTCTAACACTCAGGCAGCCCCTCCAGTACGTACCACCTGCAGCTCGGGACCAGACCCTGCTCTCTCACAGGCAGCAAAACACGGCAAAAACTGTCTATGGTGCTCAGAGCTAAAACTGGCAGGTTCCTACATGTGGAGGAAAAGCCAGGTGCCTGTGGGGGTTTCTGGCTCTCTGAACAACCTGGCTTTGCTTGCCCAAGACCTTGGAGAGGCAGAAGCTGGAGTTCCTCCTGCCCAGCTCAACCCCTGCCCTGCCCAATACATATCGCATACACTGCAGACTGCAAATATAGGCCTATAAAGCTTTTATTACTGGGAATTGGGGGTAACTGCATTAGCTATGAGAAGGCTATACAGTTCAGCCTGTACAAACAATAATAAAATCTGATATCAACCATCATTCTGACACACACTGACAAGGCCTTGTTGTGTTCATCTATGCCCACATTAAGCCTCTCTCTACCTTCTCCCCTCTCTAAACACAGGCCTGATCCTGCAAAGTGCTAAATGCCTTACACACACAGTGACTTCAGGGAGAGTTCATGGTGCTCGAAGCCTTATTAGCCCAGGCTTTATCTGTAGGGGGTGATGAGATCCCCAGTGACATCAATCAGCACACCTTCATTAAAGTTAGAGGAGCTACGCTGATTTATGGTAGCTGAGGATCCAGCTCTACACTTCATAACCTTCAATACATCATCAAACCCACGCTGAATTCTTTGTTCTCCACAGGACTGATTCTACAGCCCCATAAATGCTTCCCCTGTCCCTCTGTCCTCTTTGAAAACAGAGTTCCCCTCTCCACATATAACCCCCTTTTAATCAACAGGACCAGTGTGTCTGGCAAGACTGCTGTGTCAGGCCTGTTTTAGGAGACCCCAAGCTCCTTCACAGCTCAGGCTTCCCTGTAGCTGGCTATGGATTCCACATTAAACACACAGGTTTATACGTCTGCTGAGACCATGTTATTAACTCAGCCATTTATGGTGCCCTTTGATGCTGTTAATTATTCTTTACTAGCTGTTAATTGTTTTTCCCGGACATCTAGTTTCCGAGTCCCTTCTTAGAAGAAAAGAGAAGAAGAAAAAAAGGCAAACAAAACCAAACCCCCAGTTTACCAAATGCAGCAGAATAAGCACTGTGGAGAGTCAGATCCAGCCCAAACAGCTTGGACCCCCAAGCCCCCAGCCTCACATGGTCCAAGCCTGGGTCTCCAACCCTAGGGCTCTCTACAGCATACCTCTGCCTATTTACACTCCAGGAAATTGCTCTGCTCTCCCAGCACAGTTTAAGAGGACAGCAAGGCCACTTTGACACAGAGGAAAAACAAGCTGTCTCCGAACCAAAGTCAAACTCAGGTTGAAAGCCAGTTAGCTCTTGCTTTCAGGTGATATCAGGCTGAGTTAAGAACCACCAGTTCAATCCAGACTAGGCTCATCCTATATGACCAAAGTAGCACCTTATAACCACCCAGTCAGTAGAGGTACACTTGCCCCTGGAAGGCAATGAGACTCAGTGCTACAGGGGCTCAGGACAATGCTTGTTTTCACATGCAAGGATGCATGAGGTCCATACTGCTAGGCAAAAGTGGGAAGAGGAGGTGACTATGTACTAGAGAGAAAGAGGAAGGCTCTTACTTGCAGTCGTGTTTTTCAATTTCAAAGTGAGGGTTGAAGTTGAGGATAATCTTCTGGTTGGATTCAGGGGCGTAGATGACCCACTCGCAGTTCTGGTGGGAGGGGTAGTCATTGGGGTACCCTGGCGAGGTGATGTACCCAGCATCCTTGGAGTTCAGGCGGCCCCCGCATGGCTGAGCTGCAGAGACACAGAAGGGAACAAGGCATTGAAATGGGTTCTGGGCATCAGCCGCACATAGCCAGTCCCTCCAGGCCACTGCTATGGGTGGTCTGATAAAAGCCATTCTCCTGGGCATCAATATCCATTTGGTACTCTAATATTTCACATTAATCTCTGGGCAAGGGCAATTATTCTACACAACAAACCTACCCCTTTGCCCCTTCACCTCCTGCCACACTTACATACCACATTTCACGCAGACCAGAAAAAGAAAGTTGCCAAGGCAATTACCGAGCCATAAAGTAAGAGATAGATTGATATCAGATCATCTGGAGCCACCTCATTTTATTCCTTCTTTTGCTTCCTTTGGAAGCTGCTATGTGGCAGTGTCCCACAGCTGCCTCAAGAGACACCAAGATTTGGATGCATACAACCCTCGATCCAGTTGCAGGAGTGGAGAAAGCTTTGCCGTTCCCGTGGAAGGAAACTGAGACACAGTGGGGCTGATGGCAAGCCCAAGCCCACCCGCGTGGCCGGTGGCAGACCTGAGGACAGAGTCCAGCTCTCCTGGCCCTGGCCCACAGCCCCACAACAGCCCTTCTCTGTTTGCTGTGCTCTCCCTCCCCAACCCCGCCTGCTCCCACCACCCCATCTCAGCAGACTGGCCTCCCAAAACCTTTCAAGCTAACACAGCCGTTGGAATTGCAGACATGGATAATCAGCAGTGGTGGTTTTGTGGGGCTAGCCCACAAATGGCTGGCAACAGCTGCATGGTGAGCAGAGGAAGCACTCTGAGCTTTGGGTTAGAAAAGGCCCTGGAGGGTGATTTCATCTTCAAAAAAAAACATTTAATCTCATGAACACTGCAAATCAAATTTATTATTGCATTACTTGCTGGGAGGAAAATCTGCATCATAGGGTCAATTGATAACGCACTACAAATCCCAACAAAGTCCCTTTCTCCACAGGGCCCCTATCGCATGCCACTCACTGTCCCCCTCCCCTGCCACCACCCCATCCCAGCACCATGACCCCACAGGCTACCACAGCTGCCCCTGGAAGACAGTATTGCCTCCTCACACCCAGCAAAACAGGCAAAAGCCAGCAAACTGGGCAAAACCCAGAAAAACCCTAGGTCCCTCCACAGGCCAAGCTGGCAAGAACACAGGATGATTCCAGTCCATGTTGCAGAAAGGCTTTCCCTTCCCTGTTGATAAGCAATAGGGTACCTGGAACAGAAACCCTCGTGGGTTGTCCCCAGTGCAGGCTCCAGTCCTGCAGTAGGGTACGGGTGGGCTTTTCCAGGGCCCAGATGTGCACACTTTGTGATGGGGCCTGGGGCACACCCCATGCCCCTGTGGGAGCCGAGGCAGAGGGCCATCACCCTCAGCGCAGGAAAGTAACCACATATCCTGCACCCCGTCGGCTCTGTGAGCCAAAGGTCTCTGCATTGCTCCCACTGCCCTGGCCCTGAGGATTGTCCCTGTCCCTGTCGCTCCCACAGTGGCACTCACTGCAAAGGCCCCAGACCACCCGGGAGAAGCAAAGCAGCACAAACTCGTGTGGGCTCAACCTCCCACCACAGGTCTGGCTCTGTCCCTCTGCCATGGGGTCTGCCAGGTCCCAGGGGTGTCCCCTGCCGGGCTGTCACAAGTCTGCCTGCTCTCACTAGGGACATCCCAGCCGGCCTTCTAAACGCCCTCTTGCAGGAGCCAACGCAAGCAGCAAGAGCAAGGTAGGACCCCTCAGTGGCAAGGCTTCCTGGAAAAAAGCACTTTGAATAAAGAGCCTGCTGCCTGCACACTGTCTGCACACTACCTGCGGAAAATACATGTGTCCTGCGCGGGAACAAGGGCAACAGGAGGGCCCTTCATGGGGGAAGAGATGCTTCTTTCACCATGAAAAAGCACGATCTCAGTTTCCCCCATATTTTTCATGCCCTCTAACACATTCATTCTTCAAAATAACTTTCTTCTCACACACCCGAAGGCATCTCTGCAGCCTTCCCTTTTTTCTTAAAATAATCCTGTAAGTATCCTGAAAAATATGAGGGGAAAAATCGCAACACTGCCACAGAAGAGCTGAGAATATTCAAAAACATCTGGTTTTGTTCCACAGGAGAGCTTGCTCAACACACAAACATTTACAAACCTACGTTCTTGCAGAAATCTCTTCTCTCAGCAAGGCATATTTGCCCACACACGTGTCTAAGTGGGTTTGAGGGGAGACAGAGAAAAAGAGACATTCACGTGGAAGGAAGAAATTCACGGACTTGTTGACATCAATGTACAAATAGACGTGTAATTCACACTTCACTCATGTACGCACTTTCACACCTTCTCATAAAAATTCACACCTCGTTTGCACACATGTCCACCCCCTCCAGCAAAGAGAAATATTCAAGCTGCAGATTATTTTTCTTGGAAAGGGCAAAGTCTCGAAGCAATGAAAATACAGTCAATACTTCCACACCTCGTCATCCCCTCCCCGTCTCTCCAGCTTTCACACACATGCTACCCGCTAGGCTGATACCACCAACATCACCCACCACTCAGAAGCTGCTAGCCCCTTACTCGCGCCGGATACTATGAATACTCTGTGAGCTGTTGCAAGTCAACCATTTGGAGGGGAACTGCAATGTGAACAGGGGTGTCAGGCTCCATCTTGCTCCGGCTCTTCCCTGATAAACGAACTCAGAAGCAGAAACCCAGGTTTACCCTGACCTCAAAACCTCTCCCTTGCCCTGCAAGGCCATCGCAAGTCAGCGAGACTGAGCTAAGGAAATCCCTGGGCTTGATCCTGATTTCAGTTCAGTTTGGTGCCCAAGTTAAACTGCTGGTGCCAGTGAGGACAGCCTAAGTGAGAGGGCCTGGAGCCCAGCTCCCTGCAACCGTGCTCTCTGCAGCAAAATGGGACAAGCAAGGGAAACCAGTGACCAGACAAGAGCACCATCCACATCCCTTGGATGTTCAGAAACCACCAGGAAAGTTTCACCATCTTTTTGCAGCAGGGAAAGCCTTCCACCTGTAGGAAAGTTTATCTGTGTCTCTCAGAGGAACAGATTTTGCCCTCTTATTCATCCCTCCCCAAGAAGGTCCAGAGAAATGAAGGGGGCTGCTTCAGTGCAGCACTGACTTGTCAACGCACAGCACCAGGCCACATGGTGGGCAATAGCGTACCAGGGAAATTGGGACTTCTTAGGGTCATCTGAGGAGGCAAAGTGACTTTAATATCTTTGTAATTGTTCTGTTGGGCTTCTTCTCTTTTGATTTACTGGTATCTAGCAGATAAACACCTGTAACAAAAAAAATAATCTATTACTGTGCTCACTGACAGGTAAAGGGTTTGCCTCAGCAGACATGCCAAGCACTGGCGTTCTGTATAAATCAGGCTGGTTTTGTACACAGGAGTGGGTCAAGCTTCTATATAAATGTGTCCTTTCAAATGGATGCATTGAATCCATGCAAAAATAGAAAAAAAAGAAAAAAGGTGAGTGGCATGGCTACTGCCCAGGCTGTGTGCTTTGGAATAGAGACGTGCTCCACAGCTAATGGGCTCTGGCAGCTTTTGCCAGTCCTGAATTCACTTAATAAAATTAAAATTAAATTCTGAAGTATAAGCCAAGTCTGCCAGGTGCGCGGGACATCCCGTTGCTCAGTAAGCAAAACACAGGCATTGAAAGCAAACTGCTGGGGCCCCTGCCAGCCTGCATGGTGGAGGGGCCAGTGGAGGAGTGTGCTGATGGCTCAGCCACAGGAGAGCAGCCGGGCTCCTCAGCTGAGGCTACAGAAGTTGGCACTCCCCGGCAGTGTCAGAGCAGGCTATGTCCAGGATAGGAAATCCCCAGATCCCCTCGTTCGTTAAGGCCCACCACACGACTTACATTATCCTAGCAATCCTCTCCTTGCAGGACCACCCCAACAAGGGAGCTACACCAGAGGACGACAACCAAGCCATAGGGATGGGAAAGGAAGACCTGGAGAGGCTCGCAAGGGCAGATTCCTGCAAACCCCTCAGTGTACAGCGGGCACCTCCGAAGTTTCCTATGGAGATGGGTATCAGCAGCTGAGCTCCTCACCCTTGCCCTGACCTGCTGGAGACATCCAGGCTGATAAAGTCTCCCTCTGCTTGCCCCAGGCTGCAACAAACAATCATCACTCAGGGGACCCAAAAATAACAGCCAGACCCCGGGAACCTCTACCCGGACTTGGGGTTTTTCAGCTCTGCAGCTCATCAGCACACACTGAAACCTTAGGCCGGGAGCAAAGCATTCTCCTACTTGAATTTCCTGCCGATTAAACCCCTTTGGATTTCCCTCACCCCAGGAGAGTAGGGCTCACTGTTATTATTGGACCTTCAACACAGAAACTAAAGCCAACTCTGCCTGTTACAAAAATAATCATCACCAGAGAGGCCCGTTTCACAACAAACACACATACTACAGCCTCTCAGAGCTTGTAGCGTCCAGCAGAAAACTATCACGTGTTTTGATCTGCTGGGTTCAGTTTACTTTGGGGATGTAATTCAGGGCTGCGCAAAAAATTTAAGACGTTCTTATTGCCTTAGAGGCAAGCAGCAGCATCAGTGTCTGTACTGCTCAGAGCAGCCTTTGAGGGCAGCAAAGGAGCAAGGGAGAGAGATCCTGGCAGTCCCACCGCAGAGGGGTGCACCCCAGCCTTGTCACTTATTTCTCTTCTTTGCATGAGGCCCTCACAGCGCAGCTCCCACACTCTCATCCAACCACCACAGATTTCTACATCCTGGGATTCAGCACTGGGCAGAAGAGATTTGCCCTGCCAACCCTCAAACAGCACAGCAAAATACAAGTCCTGGGACACAGAACCTACTGCTCTCAGAGCTGCTGAATTTGGCGCAAGCCTTTGTGCAGCAAACCCTGCATTTCAGTCCTGTTAGAGTCAAACAGCTCTTCAAGAAACAAAGTTTTTCAAGGCCCATGTGCATCCAAGCATTTTGCCAAACCCTGGCACGGAGGGGAGAAACAGATCTCTTCTGCCAAG